TTTTGTGGTAAAGACACTTAAGATCTCTCTTAGCAACTTTCAAGGATGTAACACAGTATTCTTATTATATTATTAGCTATAATCACCATGCTGTACATCAGACCCTCAGAATTTGTTCGTCTTATAAATGGATGTATGCTTTGACCCCATCCCTCCCCAGTCCCTAGAAACCACCACTCTACTTTCTATTTCTCTGAGCTTGGCTTTTTTAGATTCCACATATAAGTGAGGTCATACAGTATTTCTCTTTCTCTCAGGAGGGATTTTTTTTTTTTTTAAGTCACTTGTGAGCATGAGCAGCTGACTATCTTCTTACCTCAGAAAGCGGCTTCTTTTCCTTGATGTTTTCTTGCGGTAACTCTTGCCTATCTTAGATTTCCCCTAAGAAATCCACCTCTTTTTTGTTTCCCCTCTCCCCGAAGCCTCTCCCACCTCTTTTAACCATGTAGGTTGCAGCCTGCGTTAGTCAGCTGGAACCCACAGCAGTTTCTCATTTCTCGTTCGCTACCTCTAAAGCTGCTTCGGCTGGCTGCCTTTCACTGTGACATTCTCTTGGGCCACTCTTTCAAGTCCGGCTTGTTCATGCAGCAGTCTACCAGACCACAAGCCACACTCAGTTTCCAAACTCTCCTAACTAGTTTATATTTGATGGACAGCAGTTCAAACCCTTCTCCCCACATGGAAAGCTCTGGTGAGGAGTTTATTGCTCAACATGCAGAGAGAGGGCACCTCAACTCGGCAGTGTCTAAAAGTATCTTAGAGGGGCAAGGTGGGAACAGCTATGGGATTGTGCAATAAGGTAGCCAACCATACCAGTTTACCCAGGACAGACAGAGCTCCAGAAATACAGGGCTTTTAGTTTCAAACCAGGACAAAATTTTAAATCTACTTTAAAGTGGTTCTTTCCATGCAGGAGCTTGATTTTGAGGTGAGGGATTCTAAGGGTCTTGGGATATAAACTGTCGATGCTTTCTGTTGAAGCATGGATGTGTCTTTCAAGAGATTCCAGTAAAGAACAATAAAGTTAGCTGGGCAAAAATTATGCTAATGAAGACAATGGACCAGTAAGTTTATATTAATAAGACAGTAAGTTGAGGTGGAGGCAAGATAGTTTCTTTTCTTCTTATTATTTTATTTTTGAGAAAGCAAGTGCATGAGCAGGGGCGTGGGGGGGGGTGGGGTGCAGGGGCAGAGGGAGAGGGAGAGAGAATTTAAGCAGACTCCAGGCCCAGGGCTGAGTCCGACATAGGCCTTGATCTCACAACCCTGAGATCATGACCTGAGCCGAAATCAGGAGTCCAACACTTAACCAACTGAGCCATCCAGGTGCCCCAATAGTTTCTGATTCTATCCTCTCTTTCTCAAGATCTGTTTCATACTCCACATCCTTAGTCAAACACCACACCCAGTGTTTTGTTTTTTTGATTTTGTGTGAACACTGCAGCACCCCTAGCCTCAAGTCTCTGATGTCTATTCTAGCTTTCATTCCACTCAGGAGAATAACTATTGTTATAATAAAACTGTTGTTCATAAAGCCTTCACTGTGTGCTAGGCTACATGTCAAACCCTTTATAGACATTATTTCATTTTCACAAGAGTCCTATGAAGATGTGCTATTATTATCCCTATTTTATAGATGAGGGAATGATGGCTCAGAGAGGTCAAGACACTTGCCCAAGGTTATGTAGCCAGAAAGAAGAGGTAGAGTCAACATTGGATCTCAGTTCCATCTGACCATTCAGCAATAAAAAGGAGCAAACTACTACTATGTACTACAATGTGTATGAACTTCACAGACATCACGCTAAGTGAAAGAAGCCAAATAAAGAAGATTACATATTTGCAATTTCAGTTATATGAAATGTCCAGATAGGGCAAATTCAGAGGTAGAAAGCAGGTCCATGGTTCCTAGGCATGGGGGAGGGGTGGGAATTAACTGCAAATGGGCAAATGGGGTTTTGTCATTGAGAGAAATGTTCTAAAACTGGGGTGTGATGATGGTTGCACAGTTCTATAAATTTACTAAAAAATACCTCATTGTAGGGCGCCTGGGTGGCTCAGTTGGTTAAGCGACTGCCTTCGGCTCAGGTCATGATCCTGGAGTCCCCGGATTGAGTCCCACATCGGGCTC